CTTCCACACCTACCCATATTTGTCTCAAGCATCACCACAATTTCCTAACTGAATACACAACATAGCGAGCGCTCAGTCCTCACTCCTAGAGGAATGCTAAATATCTCCTAACTGGCCTCTCGGCCTCACACAACCCACTTATCCATGAAACTTCCACCAACCCTGCAGCACTAGTGTATGCTAGCCATACATAACGCTAGACCCTATAGACTTTCGAATATCCAATCCTACCCTAAGCTCCCAATCAAACAAGAACAGAACATAAGGCCAAATCAAACATTCTCAGGCTATAAGATCTTGGTTATGTATAACCGTGATGCATACACTAAGCAACTACAGTAATGATGTCAATCTCATATAAAGGAAACCCTAGGCTAGCAGGCATCATGTAATCAGGCAATTCTATCATGCAATTCCTGAAGATCCCTAGCCTAGTACTAACATGTTGTTCTAACATATCTCATAATCAAATAACTTGTATGGTATTTTGGGGTCTACTTACTGGCTCTGGCTGATCGTACATCCTGCATCCTCCTTTAATTATTTTGAAAACCTTTTTAAAGAAATCATTTTGAAAATCCTTTCCTTGATTTGAGACTGGAGTTACACGCATGTTCCTCCAATTCACTCAAACCAAGGCTCTGATACCAACTTGTAACAACCAAAAATTCAAACCAATTTAAACTTTTAAAAACATTTCAAACCATTAAAAATCATTACAACTTTGTTTTCAAAATGTATAATATCAGAGTTTTCCCAGAAACATAGACAAAACATGAGGAGCTGTACGATCACGCCTTCGCCTTGCCGCGATCCCCTGATGTACCTGAAACAATAAACTGAAACTGTAATCCCGAGAGCTTAGTGAGTTCCCCCAAAATACCGATACACATACAGTCCATATAAACATATCATAACAAACTGAACAACATGTAATGGGTCCCCAACTTTACAGACTGGATTACCCCTGAGCCCACATGTAATGGGTCCCCAACTTTACAGTCCATAAAACCCTTTTTCATAAATTTCCAAAATTACCATAATACCCTCAGAAGTCAACTGGTCAACTCTTGGTCAAAGTCAAAGTCCACAGTCAAAGTCAACAGTCCATGTTGACTCGACTCGTCGAGTGCAGTTCACCGACTCGTCGAGTCCTTCTTGAACTCGAGAAGTCGTGAAATCCTTGATTGGCTTGTCGAGTTCCCCTTTAACTCGTCGAGTTCATACGTGTCCAAGAATTTGGAGAAACCCTAGCCGACTCGCCGAGTCTTCGAACGACTCACCGAGTTCAAGGCAATCTTCAAAGGACTCGCCGAGTTTGTTCATCAACTCGACGAGTTCATGACCATCTTCATATGAATCGCCGAGTTGACTATGCAACTCGCCAAGTCCGTGCAGACCTTCATCCATGCAGACACTTTTTAAGCCATGCCAAGGTTCCAGATTATAGATCCAAGCTTCTAAGGCATGTTTATCACGTAAAGTTGCAAACTTTACACGCATGCAAGGCCCTAAAGGCTCCAATCTAAGCTTCTAATGGAGCTTTACACCATAGGAGAGTCTCATCCTTGCAAGAGCTGGAAACTTTATGGACTTAGGACTCAAAAAGAGGTTCAGATATGAAGTTTCAACTTCAGATCTAGCTCCCATACCAAAATCCCTTCATGAATAACTAAAGATTCCCACTGTTGAATTATCGAGTTGATATGCATTTGATTATTTAGGTATATCGTAAATTGTTTAGCTTCCCCTGTTGAATTATGGGGTGAATGTAAAGTTTTACGTTTAACTGTAAACATGAGGCTTTAGTTTGGTTGTCTAAGTAATGATTTGGATGAGACAAAAGCATTTAATGAGTGGATTCTTAAAATTAGTGAAGGTAATACTGGTGGCCCTAATGATGGTGAAGTTGAAGTTGAATTTCCAGAAGACGTTGTTGTTTCGCTCTACAGGTGACCATATTCATTCAATTGTATCCACCATTTATCCATCATTTGAAAACCATCTTGATGATCCATCATATTTTCAAGATAAAGCTATTTTGGTACCTACAAATGAAGAATTCGATGCTACCAATGACTACATTTTAGGATTGATGAAAGATGAAGGGAAAACATATATGAGTTCAAACTCTTTATGTGAGATAGAGTTACCAGATTTTTTTGAGGAATCAATCTACTCTTCAGTTGTGTTGAATGGTTTTAAGGCGTCTAGAATTTCCAACCATAAACTTACACTAAGAATGGTTTTAAGGCGTCTAGAATTTCCAACCATAAAATTCGTAATATCGAACAAACCAAAGGACTATGCAATGGTACTAGGTTACATATTGTTAGGATTGGAAGACACGTCATTGAAGCGGGAATCATATATGCTAGATTCTTCAACGAGACTACTTATATACCTTGCATGAAGTTAACTACGTCTAATAAAAGAATCTCATTCCGTTTTTTAGGGGAGGCAATTCCCCGTAGTTGTTTATTTTGGAGTAAATTACTGAAATCGTCCCTATGGTTTGGTCAAAATTACACGTTTGGTCCCTAACTTTTCTTTTGCACTCGGATCGTCCTTATGGTTTATTTTGTTGCGTTTTTCGTCCCTTATATACATAAAGTCAGGGACCAAACGTGCAATTTTGACAAAACCATAAGGACGAAAAACGTAACAAAATCAAACCACAGGGATGATCCGAGTGCAAAATAAAAGTTAGGGACCAAGCGTGAAATTTTAACCAAACCATAGGGACGATTTCAGTAATTTACTCTTTATTTTGTTATGGCCATTAACAAAAGTCAATGCCAAAAATTATCAAATGCTGGATTATACTTGCGTAGGCCCGTCTTCACTCATTTTTAGTTATATGTTTTTTGTTTTGTCGTGTCACAAGTGAAAAAGTATTGAAAGTACTCATATATGACGAGGAAGGTCGTCCAACTAATAAAACAAAAAGTTATGTCTACAAAGATATCCTTCAACGATTATAGATATTCAAGTGTTTCATTGTTTTTTTTTTCAGACATTTCAATGTTACCAATAATACTAAATCTGTTTCTGTTACTTTATTTTTTTTATTGTGCCAACTTTTTTTTATACCTTTATATGTATATTTTTATATGTTATCCGCGTTTTACGCGGGTCATAATCTAGTATTTCTATATAACAACTTTTGAGAATTAATATGCACGTCACCAATTCTACCTACTCAAATTAATTATTATTCTAAGCTGTTAAAGTGTATATATAGGATGTACATGTACAAATACTTCAAATGTGAAGGAGCGCCCTTTACGTTCTAACAAGATCTGAGCACGAAGCATGAATAAAAGTTGTTAGAATCATGAATCTGCCAACAGACCATCGGAGATGGCAGGCGGAGGTGGCGGTTCAACATCTAAGTAGTGGTTGCTGGTTCGTCGAAGGTGCTGGTTCGACCGTCGTAAAAGGTCACGGTCAGTGTTGTAAAAATCGACCTACTCGGCCGAGTACTCGGAATCGGCCCTCCACCGAGGCGAGTTTTGTGAACTCGGAAAAAAAACTCGGATTAAGTCAAAATCGGTCAACCTCGGTCAAAACTCGGTCAATATTTCTCTAACTCGGGCCTATTCGGTCTTACTCGGGCCTATTCGGTCAAACTCGGCCAACTCGGTCAAACTTGGTCAAAGGGTCAAAATTGTCATAAAAAAAGAAAAAAATCAAGAATTTCAAGATTAATATGTATAATACACTTAATGATTTATTATTTAACATACACATGTGATTATTACTATATATATCATAAATTTTCAGTAATTATTCACGAATTGCGACAATTGTGTGTATTTCAGGTTTTATGTATTCACATGTATCTAATTTTGTTATATATTTCAATCAAATTATGATTTTAACTTATGATTTTGACATATAAAATTTTCTTAAAAAATATTTCTATACGAATTACCGAATCCGAGTACTCCCCGAGTACTCCCGAGTACTCGTTACTCGGTAGTCGGCCGAGCAGATACCGAGTAGCGAGTTCTGCAACCTTGGTCACGGTGGTGGTAGATCGTGCCAGCGGTAGCCAAAGAAGACTTGTTTTTTTCCGATTTGTTGCATAAAATGATGACATTACACCGGCGATCAGAGGTCGTGACAGAGGAAGAGACATGCCGGTGATGGCGGTTGTGTGGCCGCCGTCGGCGGCGGTGGAGGTAGTGATGTTCTTCATCGGAGGTTGAAGAAAACGAGAGAAAGGTTTTTTTTCTTAGATAAGAAAATAATGCGTAGATCTAAATCTAAATGTGATATAACATATATAAATTATAAAAGCGGGTTTAATTTTTGTAATATTTATTGTTATGTGATTTTTTAGCTATTGACAAAAATACCTTTTATAAGGTTTGTAAATATTTATTTGAGATATGATGCTAAATTAAAATTTCTAAGTTCTTAGAGTTATTAACTTTTTTTTGTTCTTATTTGAACTTTTATATATATATATATATATATATATATATATATATATATATATATATTGTTTTTAAGAAATAGTATGTTAGTGTATAATCCTTATTTAGACATTTGGAGAGAATTAGTGACTTATATTTTAACGGCACGATAGTAATTAAAAACAAAACAAAATGATATTTATTAAATTTAAACTAGGGGAAAATGAAACTGTAGCACATCAAACTTTTGTCATTTGGCTAATTTGGTCACTAAAGTTTTTTTTTTCAATTAAGTCACTAGAGTCGGGTTTTACCTATCAATAACACCATTTTTTCAAAAATTAAACGGTTTCCCGGTTTCGTTCTTACGTGGTTAAGTGATGTGTCAAAAACCCCTTACCTGGACTTCCAACGTGGCACTTGATAATTTATCTTCCCAATTACGCTATTAATTAAAATCTTGATTTGGACCTCATTCATTTCTTTCTTACCCGTTTGTGAAAAGTCAAAGCAAGCACCCTCCTTTACGTAATCAGATTGTTCGATTCTTCAACACAATGTCTGCGAGCTCATCCAATGCAAGAAATCGCCTCCAAATTGCTCGTATGTTTGTTTAAGACGGTGTTATCAACTGTGACTGCGATGTTCCAGCTAAGGAGCAGACATGTTGGAAGCTCACTAACCCCGCCAGACGTTTTTGGAACTGCAACAACAGATTGATAAGCTTCGATCTAGCTTGATTTGTTAATGCAAGATTTTTTTAGGGTTTCACTATAAAAAACCCTTACATTACGAAAAAAATCCCTAATTTTTTTTTGATTATATTGATTTGTTGTCGTGATTTCGTTTCTGAAAGTACATGTATGATCGCGATTGTTTAAATGATGTCGTATTGTTAAACATTTTTTATTTTGTGGTTTGTTAAATTGCATTTGGTGATTAATGATTACGTTTTGATGTTGTATTCATGTGGGTTTGATACAGACAAGACTGAAGAAATGTGATTACTTTGAATGGAAAGATGTCGCACAGGGAGAAGGTTACTACAAAAACCTCATCTATTCCATGAAGCAGCAGTTGGATTCCAAAGAGGATCTTGGTGTCATAAAAAACTTGAGGACTAGGAATGCTAAGTTGGAGTTTCTCCTGAGTAAGGAGAAGAGTCTAGTGGCAGGCATGGAGAAGGGGATGTGTGATTCCAAGAAGAGCATACGTATGTACAAGCTGTTGGTAGTTGTTCTAGTTCTTGGGTATGTTTGTTTTGTTTTTAAGTTAGCTAAGTTAGTGTTGGGGTGTGAAGCTTTTGGTGTAGCTATTAGTGTAAGGTGTATGTATTGGGATGTGACGGTTTTTTTGTACTTTTTGTATAGTCATCCTAAAGTGGTATTGTGCTGCATTTTGTATCTTTTGTAAAATCCAAATGATGGTTGCTAATTATCCTGAATGTAAAGTCACAACGACATATAATTGGAATGGAAATGTTTATGTGGATAGTAGAATGGAATTGTTTATGTTAATGGAATTGTTTATGTTATTAAAAGGAAACATATATGTATGGTTTTCATTTCCCTATATTAATATTATTATATTGGTTGCAGTGGACCATTTGCAGTTAATACATAGTGGATGTTTTATAACTGGGGAAATGGGACCTTTCAACCCAATAAAGTAACATATCCGGTACCATATACCACATTGGCATTCATACACATAATTCCAAACTATTCCATGCATAATATATAAACAACCATCACCTTTTCTTATAGCTAAACACATTAAAAGACAACAAACTTTAATTAACTTAAAATGGCAACATACTATCATAATTGCCAAAAACTTTCAGAAAACCATAATACCCTACCCTAATCAATTATAAGACTATCATAGTTGCCAAAAACTTTCACAAAAACCTAGCTCAGTTTCGTGTTTTGGTGATAAATGAAGAACACAGGTCGACGGGTGAAGCAAGTGAATTTTAGTATCGAGTCTTATATCATTAATTGATGTGGTAAATCCTACGTGTAATCTGCTTACTACATAAACTAACTATTAAATAAAAGTTATTTACACCTAGACAAACTCAACCGGAAAACCGTTTAAAATGGGGGGAAATGACTTAATTGACAGGTAATATATGAATTTAGTGACTTAACTGACCAAAAAAAAACTTTAGTGACCAAATTGGGCAAATGACAAAAGTTTGATGTGCTACAGTTTCATTTTCCCTTGAAACTACCTAAAATGGCAAAATAGACTTTTATGTATAATCAAATACGGAAAGCCGAATTTTTGGGATGTTTCCCCTTATAATCTCTCTACTAATAAAACAAACATTCTTATGAGGATTAATTCTAGTAGGAATGAGTGTAAATTACAAGTGCAAATTTGACATTCTCATTAGAATGAAAAATAAAATAAAATTGCAAATTTATGAATCTTGTGAAGAATGTAACAGTTTTGGAAAATTTATACATATCCTATTTAGAACGAGAATAAATTACAATTCCAAATATATAGATTGACTATAAAATATAAAAACAAAACTATAATTCTTTTAAAATTGAAAGAACCCGAAGAGAAAAAAAGATATATTACAAGTATAATTCTAAGTGCATATGAGAATTAGAGAATTCTAATAACAAAAATGAATACATTCTAATGAAAATTAAACATTTGCTAACAGATTAGTTTTTCAATTATATAGTGGCTTTTGATTCTTCACAAAATATGTTTCCAAGCCCTTCCTATCATCGAATCATGTCTTCTAATTCCATTCCTCATAAATCCATCTACCAAAAATCATATTCGAACATGAGTGTGAAGCCTACTGTTTTAAACTTAAAAGAAAAAAAAAGCAATGCCAATGAAGCCTCATGTTGCAGAACCACTGGAAAGCAAGATTTAAAATAATTGTTTTGAGTAGCTATAAACCAAGGAAAATAAAAGCATTCACAGATGGGATATATTGTGACATTCTCAAATTCACGGTCATTTTAAAATTTTTATTTATGCTTATCTGAAAAAAATCAGAGTATTCATTTTAAAGAATAATATTGCGGAATTTGCTCCCAGAAAACATGATAAATACTTTATCAAAACATTTCCGAAGAAATGTATTTTGTTTATATTAAAACTTTTGGACGTCATCGTCAATACAAAAACATAAGCATAAACAGACCTTACGTTCATTTACACTAGTGATTTACATCTTCGTTAATCTCTCAGTGTAATGTAGCTTCGTATCGACACATGTGAAACAAATAAACTGAGTGGGTCAGGTTGGGAAACCTGGTGAGTACATAGGGTTTTCAACCCACAATAATATAGTTAATTTATTTCTTCACATAATTCATGTCAAACAATATATTTGCATAATGCATGTGGGCTAAGATCTTTAATTTATTGATGAAACTTCCTAAAACACTGAAATAAAGATTATATAAAGTTGGAAAATAGAAATATGAAATACCTCATCCAATATATAAAGTGGGGCTGGGTTGGAATGCCAATATACTATGGGTCCAGTCAACTATAAGGTTGGAATACCCCAGGCCCAATTAACCATCGGGTTGGAATGTCAATCTACAACGGGTCCTGTCATCCTCGAGATGGAATACCCTCGGGCCTAATCAAATGAGCAATCTCCATCAAAATCCCAAATTACCCAAAATACCCTTAAAGTCAAACTTGATCAAAGTCAAAGTCAAATTGGTCAAACCAACTGAGTCAACCCAACCGAGTCAACACAGCCGAATCGACTCAGAGTGAGTACACGGGGTGTACCCGCGTTCTCGCATGTTGACCACCATCGGGGTGGTTGACCTCGTACGCAGGGCGTACTCCCAGAAGTCCCAAAACTCAGTAAGTGCTTAATGGCTTAAGCACTCACGACCATTTTTTAGATCCATGGCTAAAATACTCTCAAGAGTCATAAAGTTTTCAACTTTATGACTTTGCATGTCCATTAAGAGCTTAACTCCACTTTTGTATCCATTAAGACCTTCTAAATGATGCATGGAGCAAAATCAACCACTTGGAATCCATTTTTATGACTTAAGACCCTTCCAAGGGTCTGAAAGGACAGCTCAAAGGGTCAAGAACATGCTATGTTCAAGAATCATCATCTTAGGACCAAAAAGTGACTTAAGAGAGCAAAAACCTAGATCTTCAAGATGGAGTGGGAAAGATGCAAGCTTTATACCTTCAAGATGATGCAAACCAAGTAGAAATCCCAGATCCAAAGTGATATCCACTCCAAGATCTCCTCTCGACCTTCTCTCTTCAAAACCACTCCAAAAACTCACTTTAGGGCTCAATATTGCTCTCACTTGCTCTAGGGTTGCTTGAAGGTCGAAAACATAGAAGGAGGTTGGGTAAGAAGAGGGTTTGTGTCCATAAAGTTGCTTAAATATGAGCCAAAGCCCTAAAATTAGGGTTTACATGCCACCCTCGTAGGCCCAGCGTACGAAGTGTACGCCCAACGTACTAAGACGCACCTTAGTACGCTTAGCGTACACACACGTACGCATGGCATACTCATAACTCCCAATTTACCAAATTGCCATAATGGGCCCTTTTCCACACTTTCTTACACTTAAGGACCAAAAATGCAATATAATTAATTATAGGGTTAAACTTAGAAGTACCTTATCATCGGGATGTTATATGAACCCTATATCCCCCATCATAGAATAGATATAACCAAAAATAGAAATTGATGTGATAATGAAACCAATAAGCTTAAAATTGAAGTGTAAGAGTATTTAATTTTGGATTCATGGCGATGAAAATGACGATATGATGCGTGAAAATGAAGAACAATTAAAATAAAGTGATGAACAATAATAGAACATTTTCTTTCCTCCACAAATGAGTTTTGTAAATATCCCAATATGAATTTCAATAAGAATGAATGGGATCCCAAACAGATGCGTGAATGAAACGATTAAACAGTGACTCAATTAGCAGCAGTAGATTTAACATATTCAAGCAATGAACAGTAGCACTCTTGGAGGTGGAACTAAACCCCCCCCCCCCTTAAACAGGTTTTACCTGCTGTTGCAGGTAATAATGGTATATTTTAAACAAAAAAACAAGTTTAAGGGTTAAAAGTGCACCAAAAAAATTAAGTGACCAAATATATACAAAAGGTATAGTTGGTTACCCTTTGAAGTCATTATCCATAAATAAAATTCTTACCTTGTGTTGATCTGAAATGACACATATACCCTGCCTCCTTCCAATCCAAGATTATCAAGTAGTAACTCCAAGAACCACTTCCTGTTAGATTTGTTCTTAATGTCAACAATAGTCCAACCAATGGGATACACATGATTATTTGCATCCCTTCCTATAGCAGTTAACATTTCACCCTTACATGGTCCTTTCAAAAGGGAACCATCAAGACCAATCACCCTACGACAACCAACTTTCCATCCATTTGAAATAGCTTTAAAACATATGTATATTATTTGGAAAGCAGTAGTTCCATCCCGGTTTACACTCACAGCAACTTTAATTGTGCTACCTGGATTTGACCTCATCAACTCATGTCCGTAATCCCAAACCTTAGCATAGTGGTCACTCAACTTTCCATCAACTAAATGCATGGCCCTGCACCTTGCTCTATAGGCTTTTGACCAAGAAATCTTGCAATGAAATTTGCTTTGGATAATGACCTGCATTTCCTTACACTTCAAATTTGGTTTCGTAATCAAATCTTTCAGAAATTGTCTAGCTATCCATGTTGGATCCATAAGTCTTGCATAACTAAAAGTCCTAACACACTTATGCTTATCAACAAATTTCTTAATTTGAAATGATATTTCAATGCTCATCCAGGAAGACCTAACGAAAGGGACATTGAACTTTTACTTGCTCACTTGCACACACAGCTACAAGTCTAACACGATCACATTTTTGGAACCTAATCTGATGACCCTGACTTATGAAATAGTTGGTTAACAGAGTTTAAGTTGTTATGGTGATTCATACCTCTCTCCAAGAACTGGCCTCATTTTGTTCCACTTCACCTTTGGATCATGTGTATTGTATTGGAAATCAACATTGTATTCATCCTATTTTTCACTTAACCCTTTTTGCGAAGCACCTTCTTCATCATATGTCTCATCTTCAGGGTTCAAATCAAGGGACTCATCTCCATCGCTTTCATCAATGTGAACCTCGGGAATGATGCAATCTTCTAGCCCTTCTTCACAAAGCATGTTCAAGAAGTCGTCTTTGCATTGACGCTTTTGTTGCTTTCTGAATAGCTCATCAAGTTCCACGTCTATAGTGTCAAAGTCTTCAACAGTCTCCATTATCACCACTAAACAAAAATTAAATTAAATTAATCAAGCACAAGTTGCAAGAAAATGGAAGATTACGTTGATGTATGTGTAATTTCTTACTGGTTGAAGCTTGTCGTTTGATGCTTTGGTGTCGGTAACTTCACTTCCTTCAAAACATTGACTGCGTGAGCGAGAGGGTTTTTTTAACCCTTTAACACTTTGATTAGGGTTAGAAATGAAGATGAACAGGTGAATAAAGAAGCCGATAGTTTGTCTTTTTTCGTAAAAAAAATAATAATTTGGGATTAGACTGTAAACATACCCAAAACTTTGGGACTTTTTTGGAGATTTCCCAAAAAAACAACGTTAATAGGTTTCCTTTTGTTTTGTCGGAGTGATTTAAAGAAAACAATGAAAGATGTAAAAGCAAATATTTATTCTTTACGGCAATTCTTTTTTTCTCATGTATATACAAGCATGGACCTTGTTGCTATTGCAGGGGATGCATGTGAATCCTAGTATAAATTTGATGGACGAAGAGAACAAATCACCACATAAGGTTTCAAAAACAAATGAAAATGACTTAAAAGACACAGAAAATAATGCTGAAATTTCCAAGACAGAAGCAATTGGTGAAGAGTCGGATAAACAGATGAAATTGAGGAAGAACAAATCAGGAGAAATCATATTCATATCCAAAGTGAAATTGAGAACAATAGGCAGTAAGTTATAAAGAAAATGGTTTTACACAACAAGCCTTTAATACAAAATATATTACAAAGAAAATGGTTTTACACAACAAGCCATTGCATACATAACATTTAAGAAACATCCTCTAAAAACAAACAAACCACCATTTGAAAAAACAAACAAACAATCAACTCTTCTTTGATGCAACTGTTCTTTGAACAGTAGAAACACCATCCACGAATTTTGTACGAAAAAGCACATTCGCATTGTTGAACATCCCTTCTTTCAAAGAAACCACAATAAACTGTCGCCACAAAAAAAAAAAAAAAACATATTTATATCAATAAACCAAAATTTTTGAATAAATATTTTGTAAGTTTCATAAACAATATGTATATTGTATATACCTGAGAATGTGGAAAGTGAGCCTTGATCATCCGCCCAATGTTCTGTGTATGACTTAGATCAAGAGCTGCATCAACCTGGTCAACACAAGTCAAGTCAAACATGTTTTTATTAAGAAATAAAGATTATATAAAGTAGTTGGAAAATAGAAATATTAAATACATACCTCATCCAAAATATAAAGTGGGGCTGGTTTGAAAAGCAGCAGTGCTAGAATTAAAGAAAGTGCAAGTAGAGATCTTTGTCCACCACTAAGTTCTGATAATGACTGTTTCCAAACACCCCCAAATGCCACCCGCACTTCTAATCCATCCAAAAATGTCCCTCCCTCTGGTGGTTCTAGCTTTGCCATTGTTCCAGGCAACAACGTCGAAAATATAGATCCAAAATCACTGAAATTTTTAAATTACCTCTTATCAATCAATACAACAATAAAAAATAAATTAGTATTCAATTTCAACTGACTTACCTGTTCACTTTAACCCATGTCACTTTCAGTGTCTCCTTTTTCTTCTCATCAAGCTCTTCAATCACCAGCTTAATCTTTGACTTGTCATTCTGTTTAAATATATATATATATATATATATATATATGAAAAATATTTTAGTGGCAGATAAATGTATATTACATTTCTGATCCCTGAGTTTAGCTGGTTTTTGCAATTCTGGTTCTAATTTAAGATTTTTGAAATGTTTTTGGTCTATGTTCCAAGAAATGACAATATTTGGGACCAAAAATGCAAATAAAAAAAAATTTCAAAGATCATCTGAAGTAAAAGGACCAAAACTGAAATTTACTGAGAATAAAAATACACCAACCTCAATAATGTTTTTCTTGGATATCAAGTCATTGTACTCATCTTCTGCCTTCTCAAACATGGCCATAACTTTCTTGTTCACCCTCTTCTCAAGCCTTTAACAGACAAAAAGAAAAACGGATTAATGCAAAAAATAGCAATGTACTTTGAATTTTCTTTTTTTTTCATATTTAAACAATGCACTTTAAGAAATCTATAGCAATGAAAGTAGATTGCTATTTCTTGCAAAAAAAAAAGTTTGACTATTTTACCCTGCTTGTTCAGCCTGGAGACTTTCAAAATGTTCCCTTGCTTTATGTGGATCACGGGATGTGAAATCATAATCACTTCCACTTCTTCCAAAAAGTTGTTTCTCAGAATTTATCCAAGAATTCTTCTCAATCAATCTATCAACCTTTGATGAACACTCTTTCTGTTCCATTTCCATACGTTTCACCTCATTTTCTAACTTTTTCCTCTCAAGATTTTTCTCACCCATTTTATTTCTAAGTTTTTGCTCATCTTTAAGAATTCGACTGATTTGTGAGTCACACTCCTTCACCTTCTTACGCGCTGCATTTAGCTCACGTTGTGCTTCACTATGTTCATCTTTCAGTGAAATAACCTGCAAAAGATGTGCAAAAAAATGTTATCTTTTGTTGTGTCAAAAAGAAAGTCAATAAGTCAACCTTGGTCTTCAGTGCATCCACTTCAGCAGTCAACACACTAATCTGCTTCTCAAAAGAAACCAACTGATTCTCTAAAGACGCCTGTTCTTGTTTAACTGCCTCGGCTTCCATTATAAGCTTCTCCCTTTCATTTTCATGCCCCTATAAACAAAAGTTTATGTACTAAATGTCTAAATCACTATATTCTCCTCAAAAATGAAAACAATAAGATTATATTGTATTGTATAACAAACATACCTTGAGGTCCTTTGAAGCTGACTGCATATTTTTTTTCACATCCTTAATCTTCTTTTCTAAATCTTTGAGCATACGTTCCCGATTACTGGAATGGTCTTTAATTGACTTTTCAAGATTTGTCACTTCAGCTACACATTTTTTATAAAGTGCTTGCTTTTCATTAACACCAGATTTAGCTTCTGCAAGCTCTTGCTCGATTCTTTTTACTGTTTCACTAAGCTACATCACACATAAATAAAAAGTACAGAAACAAATTAAAATGATGAATAAAATTAGATAGACCCGATAATTAATAACAAAAAAAAAAAAAAAAAATGTGAAACCTTATGATGCTCATTCTGCTCAGCTCTGGTTTGGAAGAGTGAAAGATCATATGACTTAAGTTCTAATTGGGTCTTTAAGTCGTTATACTTTTTTGAAGTGGAAGAAGCTCATTAATCTGGACATTTGAAGAAGACACAATGATGTTAGTTGATGTAATTGTTAATACATATAATTAAACAATATCATGGAAAGCAGCATTGAAGGTACACCTTTGATTCGATTTCTGATAGTCGTTTTTGATGTAATGATAATTCTGATTCAGCCTCTCCTAGAGCATGTAGTTGCCTTAATAGATCACCTCCACCTCTGTTCATCAGAAAGGGTTATATTAGTAAAGATATTGCTACATTTAAAAAAAAAAAAAACTTTGATATTTTAATAAGAGTAAATTGCAAGCTTAGTGGATGTGGTACACAAAAGTTATGGTTTTCATCTAGATGTTTCATTTCTTGGACATATGGTCCTAATTTTTTAAAGATTAGTCATGTTGCAAGGTCAGGAGGTAGATTAAATTCAAAGCAAAATGACTATTTTGCCCCCATCTTCATCCTTTATAAATAAACCCAAAGAAAAAATCTAATTTTCTTTATCTTAAACTTTAAAAAGAAACCAAAACAAACAAAGAAAGAGAACTATAGCTATAAAAATCAAAATCCAAATCAAAACAAACCTACGAATTCACCATTTTTATTAAAGTCAATTCATGATCATGCCAGTAATCATTATTTCTTCTCCAAATTTCAAGATTTGTGCATAAAAATAATAGATAAAGCTAAACTTGCAGGTTTCATTTAAATCGGATATTGCTTTTACAGAATTTGTGAAATGTTGCTTACTTGCGAGAACCACCAGTCAGGAGACCACTTGGTTGAAATATGTCACCTTCTAATGTCACACTAGGCGTACTAACTTGGCGATTAAATGCAACCTGTGAAGATAAAAGTTAATTTGAATTTTTTTTTTAAATACCTTTTGTTATGAAAATGAAAAAAGGTGAAAAGGGTACCTCTTTTGCAGCATCACTGGTCTTACAGACAAAAGTTGCACCAAACACATATTCCATTGCAGTCTGGAGTTCATCATCATAACCAACCAATGAAAGCGCCACCTCAGCATTGCCTTTACCTACCTGGAAAACGAAAAAGTTATCATGTGAAAGAAATGAGAAATGAAACAGAATATATAAGCAGAGTTTTATAAAAGCAAGAAACTTGCCAGTTTAGTAGCAGCAGTTTGAACTCTAGAAGGTACAGGATGGCTTTGGATTTTATTCAAAGGAATAATTGTCACTCTTCTTCTAAGATCACCATTTTGTAAAAGTTGTTTTCCTGTATTTTCAGTGTCCACCACAATATTAAACAACTTCCCACCTGCACAAACCTCCAATGCAGTCATAGTTGAGCTATCTTTGACTTTAATAAGCTTTGCAACCACGCCTTTGACTTTTGACCGGTCAAAGTTCTTCACAGGATCACGATAAGAGAACTCAATGTTCCCTAAACGTGAAGAAATCATTCGTATTTCCTCTTTTATCTTATGTACTGCTTCTGACTCCACCATTCGGTCCTTTTGTAAACCTTCCATCTGTCCTTCCTCATATGATAAAGATTTCAAAGCCTTTTCAACATTTTCTACATCTTTCTGTCTGATTTTGAGCTCTTTTTCAACAGAAACAGCTTCATCGCGCTTTGATAATAACTTAGTTGTGTTCTCTTTTAGCTCCTTTTCACCATGACTTATCTTTGTTTTCAACTGCTTCAACTCGGTTTCTGCCTTTCCAACTGCCACTTTGGCATCTCCTAATTGATCTTCAAGACACTTCTCTTCATTACCACTGCTTTTACCAGCAACTACACCCTGGTACTCTTTTTCATGTTCTTCTAAACTCTTTTTTAGCTCTTCAACTCTTTTCTTCAAATCAGCTGCTCCATCTTCTGCACTTTTTACAGCATTAGCTCTATCTTCAACAGACTGCTTCAGTTCTTCAAGATTTTTTTCAATCTAACAACATCAAAACATATAATGTTACATCTTTAAGAAACTGAAAGAATATAATTTACACAAAAATAATACCTTTACAACATTCTTTTTCTCCGTGTTGAGATTGTCCTCTTGATTTTTCAAAACAGAAGTTTCTTTCACAAGATCACAAGAAATAGCATCAACTTTATCTGACAGAGCCTTAACCTCCCCACCCATGGTTGCATCTTTTTCGGCAGTTAACTTTGTTACATTCACCTCCATTTCTTGTACCTCTGTTTGCATTGTCTCTGTATTACTGTCAATCTCAGTTATCTTGGCTTTTACCTCTTCAACACCATGAACTGCATTGTCTCGAATTTTTTCTGCTTCTACATATTCATAAGCAATACAAAACCTTTTCAGTCTATCTAATTCTGCATTCCCATTGGACCATTGCATGTATTGCATTCGCTCTTTCCTTAGTTTTTCTAGTGCAGGGAGTATTTCCTGATCAAGAAGCTTGTTGATCTCATCAACTTTACCCTGCTTTTTCTCAAGGGTCTTCAAAGCAGCATCTTTTTTGGTTTCATACATTCTTGTTCCAGCTGCTTCTTCAAGCATGGACAATATTTCAGGAGGTTTCATGTTTAATACCTTGGTAATGCGCCCTTGCATAATCAGAAAATGTGGATTGTTGACATTTAGCTGAACTGAGTGAAAAAGATTTTGCACTCGACTTGGTTGAGCAAGATGTCCATTGATCAAGTATTTGTTCCTCCCACCTACCACAATCTGTGACATCACAAAACGAAAAACCTCAACCTATGTGCTAAAATATCATAATTTTTAAATTCTAAAAATAAAAACTTATTTTTATACATTCTGCAATTCCAAAAATTCACTTCGTGTTAAGTAGATACAAGAAAAAACACAGTCACGAGTATATTGAAATTACCGAGCTTTTATCAACGAATTAATCGAGGTATCACGTTACGTACCTGGCGAGTAACAGTAATTTCGGGGCAATCTTCGTATCCAAGTGGGCTTCTACTCCTATCGGAGTTATCAAACACAACCGACACGGTCGCCTTCGTGATACCAGCTTGTCCTTGCTTGTACACCAACTCCTGTAGATTCGAAGCTCGAACCTGCTGCAAGTTCGTTATACCTAACACGAAGCAAATGGAATCGAGAATGTTCGATTTCCCGGATCCGTTTAATCCGGTTATGGCGTTGAAAAAGGGATCGAAACCTGGAACGACTGTTCTTGTAGCGTATGATTTGAATCCCTCTAAACAAACCTCTTTGATGTGCATTGTGACCGTATTGAAACCCTAGAAACCGGAGAATTTTGGACGAAATTCAGTCAAGATCTGAAGTGGAATGTAGAAAAAAGAGCGGTTGGGAAGGGAGACAGAGGATTTTTCAGATTGAAACCCCTTAAACTTGACAGACAATATGAAATTTGTGAATGACGGATTCCAAGAGACAAAAAATTGAAATCAATAAGGGTTTAGACGAAATGGCGGGAAAACTTTATTTTTCAAAACTTTCAATTTGTTCTTATTATAATGATTTTTCAAGGCCTGTCAGCGGTAAATGGCCCATGTTAAGCCCATACACCTTTATTTTTTTCATAATAACAAAACGCATACCCTTATCACCTAATAAGGGTCGAGTCAAATACTTATCATTATAATGACTACGAGTGTGCAATAAACCGCATAAACCGTCCGCACCGCACCAAACCGTATAAACCGTCCGCACCACACCAAACCGCACTGCATAACGCGGTTTAAAACACTCGTGATGCGGTTTGCGGTTTGTATTTTTGTTAAACCGCATTATGCGGTGCGGTTTGCGGTTTGTATTTTTGTCAATTAATATATATATATATATATATATATATATATATATATATATATATATATATATATAGGGCTAATATCATAAAAACCCTCAAGTTTTCAGGGTTTGTCGGTTTTGCCCAAAGTTGAATTTTATGTCCGTTTTTATCCTAACATTTTCCAAAAAATGTTCGGTTTTACCCTTTTACCGGTGATAACAGGTTACCATCATATTAACTTCATAAAAACCCTTAAGTTTACAGTTTTTTTACGTTTTTACCCTTAAGTTTATAATTTTTTTACACTTTTACCCTATGTATTTTTTTTCATATTATACGTATTAATGCAGAAAAATCATATTTATATACGAAAAAATTTTAATTAAATTTTGTATTTACATTTTTTAATGTTATTTCTTTATATATATATATATATATATATATATATATATATATATATATATATATATGTGTGTGTGTGTGTGTGTGTGTGTGTGTATGTGTGTGTAGGTTTTTTTCTTGGATAAACCATTTAAGATGTAAAAAAACAAATTAATATGTTTTTAGAACTACAAATACGTATTTTTATGTAGTTAAAAATATATATATCAATAAAAAAAAACTTGTTCAATCATAAAAAGTATATACATATATTTTTAGAAGTGTAAATATGTATTTTGATATATGTTTTTTTTAAAGTATAAATATATTTTTAGAAGTATAGATACATATTAATATATAAAAATGTAAAAATATGTATTTATACTTCTAAAAACTATATCTATAAAACACGTATTCATAATTCTAAAAATATTATTTATCTTTTTAAATGATATAACCTTTCAAAAAACACACACACACACAAACATAAGGGTAAAAACGCAAAAAAATGGTAAAGTTAAGGGTTTTTTTGCGAATTTAATATATTGGTAACCTGGAAAACCTGTTATCACCGTAAAAGGGTAAAACTGAACATTTTTTCGAAAATGTTAAGGTAAAAACGGACATAAAATTCAACTTTGGGCAAAACCGACAAAACCTTGAAAACATGAGGGGTTTTATGACATTAACCCTATATATATATATATATATATATATATATATATATATATATATATATATATATATATATATATATATTCGAAAATATTTTGACATGTCCTAAATTAATGACATTATCTTAAGTTTTTAAAATGTAATCTTAATAAATCCAAAATTTAATGCAGTTACTATATTTTTTTTTGTCTCAAATTCATTTTCAACTAAGATTCAGTGACCATTATTTTATGGTCACTATGTTTTCTTAACTTTTGTATATTCTTAAGTAGTTAATGACCACAATTATTTGACCACCAAACTTCTTAATAACCACTTAGTGAGTCGTTATTGATGACAATGATAGTATTATCATTAAATTTAAAGTAAATAATTAGTCAAACCGCAAAACCGCATAAACCACCCGCACCAAACCGCACCGCATAATGCGGTTTTGAACGTTCGCGGTGCGGTTTGCGGTTTCTAAATAACTCAAACCGCATATGCGGTGCGGTTTGCGGTTTTGGCTCTAAACCGCACCGCGCACACCCCTAATAATGACTATATTTAGTGAATTTTCATTTACAGATCCAATTTTTTACGGAATCGATCTTTTTTTCAAGTTGAGTAAAACATTTTGTGTTTCTAGTGACTATATTATATATTATATGTAATTAAATGACTATTTGGTTGACTTAACGGGGGTTTAATGGTTTAAATACTTTTCCAATCATATATAAGCATTTTTTAAACTTCATGATTAAGGTAACAGTATCCACCTAATCATATCAACAAGTTAACATGTGACATATTGCCGAAAAAACTTTGAAATGCCATTTCTTATGTTTTAGGCACGTTATGTGTAAACACTCCTTCGTACTAATTGTTACATTCTTCTAAAAATGGTACTCGTCCTAATCATCTCTCAGTATCAAACTATCGTACTATCGTAGCCCTCTCTGGTAATTTATTTGCTTAGCAGTACGCATGTGAGGTTTCGATTTTCACATGAATGCTTCTAAGAGTTGTTGAGATAATGCATTCATATTTCCCACCATGGTTAATGATTTGAAGTTTTAAATCATTAATTGTGATCAGTTTCATGTATTGACCATGGGTGTTGATTTACTTGAGTCACATGTATATTTGGTGGCACCATCAGGGCGGTTTTACCTAAGTGTCCGGTGTAGCACCGGCAACACCTCGTTCCCGCGTACGCAGTAGAAAAAATTTCGATTTTCGATATTTTTTACCTATTTTTCCTTCACCGTCAACACCTATTTCAACATCGGCAACACCTAGTATGTATTCTTGCGTCCGCCCTTGGGTACCATGTTAAGTTGTTGGAGTTATATAGATGTTTAGCATCGCTATAAACATCTTGAATCATAATTATTGTTTGTGCATTTGTAAAGGATTTTTAATGTTAGAGGCGATTATAATTGGGAGGTTTCTGAGGTCTCCATCTGAGATTTGGAATAGCTTTGATTTTGTTTGGTCTTCATCTGGAAGATCATCTTGCGTTATGTTATACATTATGAGAGGCACGAATGGTATGTATCGGGTTGACCCGGTTTGAGTATTGGTTTGTTGCAATGTTGGTTGATGGTAGTTCAAACCCTAAGTGGGGGATAATTGGGTATTCTGTTTGGAGGATCATCGATCAGTTTGAGTGTATGGTTTCAGAAAAATGGGTCATAGGGATTTACATTTTGCGAGACTTTGTTTCAAGATTTGGTCAATATGGGGGATGCATAGGATTTTGCGGTCAGATGTACGTGTTCAAGAATGCATGAGTTGTCTTCGCGGCAGGAAGCTATTGGACAAGGAGCTCGTCGAGGCCAGTGGTTCCTTTCGGGAATGCGAATGGATAGATCAAGAGGCGTTTGGGTCGCTCAGGTGGAGTATTTGTTGTTGAGAGATTCGTCAACTCATTGTATAGACTGTTATCTATAGTCTAGGTTGAGCAGTTATTGATCGGTAACTCAGCTTCAGAGTTTGGTGTGTTTAGTTCTGCATGGGTTTTGGTTTTGGATCATTAGATTCGTTATCAATGCATTCTCGATCACTAGTCATTTCGTACATCGTCAATAGCAAAGGTTGCGGTTCTAGAGATTGAATGTTTGAAGACTGTCTCGTAAGAGTTAAATGATAACATAACATCTGCGTAGGGTTTTTTTATGAAAGATATTTGTCTAATTGTACTTTAATCGTTAAAAAAAATATTTTATGATTAAGGATCTTTCTATTCCAATAAGAATTGTGACTTTCACACTTCAATTTTAATGTTAAAAACTCATTTTTAACTATAAATAAAAAAAGATTAACTTGTCTTAGTTTGAAAATATAAAAAGAATCTATGAACAAATGGTTACATAAAATTTGGAACAAGATATATGTGATCCGAGTTAGAGAGGGATAGAGATAGCAACAAAGGGAGATCGAGAATGTCAAATAATTAGTGAGGTATAACTTATGAGGTTGTCTTATCCGGCTAGGAATTAGTGTTTTACAGTCAGGTTATGGGTTAGCTAGGTGGTCACACGAGGTAAATATATTGAGTTTTCTCTGGTGACTACAATGGCAATAACAATGGACGAAGATGAAGGATGGGGACTTAAATCAATCAGTTTTAGGGTCTTTAGGGATATGTTACATATCTTTATCTCTATTTCAGTGTTGATTTTGAAAGCAACTTGAAACATCCTGAAAATCATAAGGTAAATATTTCATTTTTAATTCAATCAAGACACCAATTATCTTTATTTCAAACGCTCAAAGTATTTCATAATAAAATAGTTATCAGAGTGAAATCCCAAAATCATCATAGTGCGAAAACATGGGTGGATGCGATGCGATCAAGCCGGACTCTTCCCTTTTTAAACCGGAAATACTTGAAACCAAAAACTGAAAACCATAAGCACGAAGCTTAGTGAGTTCCCCAAAATACCACATACCATAAATATCAACCTATACTGGGTCTCGCCCGTCATCGGGCTCCGCGCGGCATAGAGCCCTGCTCGGTATACAGATTTGTCAGTCATTGGGCCCCGCCCGATATACATATAAACATATAAGCATATAAACACATACACGTGCAATAATCACAAAGATAAATAACATATAGAATGGTCATCGAGCCCCCCGCCCGACATCAGGCCCCACCCGACATCGGGCTCCGCCCGGTAAACATGTAAACACATAACATATGTGAGAGTCACGCAGACATCTAGCATCCTAAACATAACAAACCATGGGTCGACATTGGTGCCTTCAACTTGCTAACACAGTGAGGAAACTCACCTCTCATTATGAACAATAGTTGATGAGGTCCCAACTCCGAATCTCAGCTCTAACCGTCACCTATCCAACCAAATGACCAATTCTCAAACAAAATCCAAAAATACCCAAAATATCCCTAGGTCAAAATTAGGTAAAAGTCAAAATTCCAAAAAATCAACTGAGTCAACCCAACTGAGTACACCTAGCGTACTCAATTGTACACCCAACGTACTCAGTTGTACGCACAGCGTACGCGTTGGCTGCCAACCCAAGTCATTAAGAGCTTAATCCTTAAGCTCTTAAGC